TTCCTTCCCTCCTTCCTTCCCTCCTTCCTTCCTTCCCTCCTTTCTTTTCTCCTTCTCTCCTTCCTTTCCCGAGATGGGAGGAGTTTTTCCACCACCAGAACCTGCAGGAAATAACTCTTCCTCCCATACTGCACCCGCACCCCATAGCAGCCCAGGGTATGAATGTTAGTCCCCTGGTAGTCCCTGAGCAAAGTGTCCGCGGGCGAGACCTGCGACTTGGGGACTTGAGGGCACAGACGGGAGAAAGTGGCCCAGGACAGAAGGGATCGGGAGGAGCCCGAGTCGACTTCCATGGGGCAGGGAGAGCCCTCAATGGAAATGGTTGTGGTGATTTTCCGCATACCAGCCGAGGCTTGGCTGACCGACACTGCAGGGGTGGCAGGGAGGTCTTCCTCTAGGGCGTAGCAGTCATCTTGGCGGGCTTGCTGGCGTCTGGGCTGTTGATTTCTAGGCGGCACAGGAGGACCGTAGGCAGGCAGCGGCTGGTCAGCTGGAGGTGGCAGGGTGGCCCGGCAGACCTGTGCCAGGTGGCCTTTCTTGCCGCAGCGGCGGCACACCGAGGTTTTGAAGGGGCAGGACGCCCGGGCGTGGTTGCCTCCGCAGCTGAGGCAGGTGGCGGATTCCGCAGTAGCGCGGGCTTGAGAAGGCTGAGGGCGCCGAGGAATGGCCCTCAGGCGATCGACTTGGCCTTCATAGAACGAGTCAGGCAAGGGAACCAGTTCGTCAATGAGGCAAGTCGAAGGTGAAGAAGGCAGCGGAGGTGGAGGGGTTGGTGCAGGTAGAGCAGGTACTGGAGGCAGGGTAGGCGCGGGAGGCAGGTAGCGGGCCATCTCCAAGGTTGACAGCTCCGCGAGCTCCGTGGCCCGCGCCTCTTTGATTGCGATGGTCAGCGTGATGTTTGTTTTATCGAGGAGGCGCCGCCTGAGGAAAATGTCTTTAAGGCCGCAGACGAACTGCTCGGTTAGATTGTCCCATTGGTTACTCCTCCCACACCTTTCTTCTAAACATGCAGTTCAGGACCAACTGCCATTTTTCCCAAAAATCACGAAGGGACCTTTCCTGTATAAAGAAAATCCTACAAATACTCACCATCTCGTGAGGTTTTCACTATCTCCTGGTTTTTATTTCCCACAATCACGAAGGGACCTTTCCTGTATAAAGAAAATCCTACAATACTCACCATCTCCTGAGTTTTTCAGGATCTCCTATGTCTTTTTTCTCTAAAAAGCATGAATCACGACCCCAGGTTGGTCGTGGTTACGCTGCAGTTGAAGATCTGCAAACAAAACAAGCTGTGTGGATTCCAGGCCGGTGTGTTCGTCCTTATCATAGAAAAACAAATGAAAAATCCAAGGACGCAACGCCCTCCAATCTTGCCTTGGAATCGCATTGAAGATCAACCTCAATTGAAAAAATTCTTTTTTTCTTATGTATTGGTTTTTCTTTTGTTTTCTTTCTCCAGTTTCTACTAACTCTGAGACAACTCCTGCTTTTTCTCTTATCTTTGGATTCGTTATGCTCAATATGTTTTTGATTCATGGTCGTAATATAAGTTTATATTATGAACCTCCTATGGCTCTTGGTCAAGTTGCTTTTATTCCTAATCTAATTCTTCTGCTTTCATTGTTTTGCAACTTTAACATATTACTTCTATTCTCTACTCCTCCACATGAATTAAATTTAGTTAGATGGAATTATATTCGGATTAATCAGTTTACTAGAGGGTTATGTTTTTATTGTTATGCTCATCATAATTGGTTTAATCAATGGTCTGATTACCCAAAAGCTAAACTTATTTTAGATAAAGTAGAAAAACAATGAAAGCAGAAGAATTAATTAGATTAGGAATAAAAGCAACTTGACCAAGAGCCATAGGAGGTTCATAATATAAAGTTATATTACGACCATGAATCAAAAACATATATTGAGCATGACGAATCCAAAGATTAGGACTAAGAGAAAAACCAGGAGTTTTCTCAGAGTTAGTAGAAACTGGAGAGAAAAAGCAAAAGAAAAAACAATACATAAGAAAAAAGATTTTTTTTCAATTGAGGTTGATCTCCAATGTGATTCCAAGGCAAGATTGGAGGATGTTGCATCCTTGGA